GTACGTGTTATTTACATGCAAGAATTTCAAACTTTTTTCACTTTGTCATTATATTATATTATATTATATATTATATTATATTATATTATTTGTGTGCAGAATTTTGAGGTGAAAAATTGATTGAACAAGGTCATGCCAGGAAACAACGCAGAAACGTATTTCTGCCAGCTCCCGTTTAGTTACACGACTCTGCTTCTATCCCTTCTTTGCTGAATTATACAGAGTTTAGTGTTTACATTGTGATATTGGCTGTAACTTTGATATGCTGCAGGTCTTAACAGAGCTTTAAATGTTTTCAACATTTTGAGCCCTCATTATTTCATAAATATGTGAAAAGTGCACAAAAAAAAGAAAATCATAGCACAAAGAAAACGTTTTTCATGTGCAGATATGCTAAAATTCTTGTGCAAGCGGGGTTTAGGTGAAATCTTCCATTAGTGTGTTCTTCCTCCCCTCAGGTCCCAGCATTGGCAGTTTGTTTCACATGGCTGACGATCTGGGCCGTGCCATGGAGTCACTGGTCAGTGTGATGACGGACGAACGGAGCACCAAACAGCACGAGGCCCTGCACTTCTGATCCTGCCTTTAATCTTCAGCCCCAACTCCCCCCTCTCCTCCATCCCTCCCTACTTTCCTACCTATCGCATGCTTTTCTAGTCAAAACAACTGGATTGGAAACAGTTTACAAAGAGAATATATATATAACATTTATTTTTGTGAAAGATTAAAGTTCCAGCAAGGTCTCATCAAAAAAGTACATGTAGATTTCAGTAGTTTCTTAAAATGTCCTAAAGTTGTTTTATTATGAAGAGAGGCTGTTTTGGGGTTTTGTTTTTGTTTTTTAACTTCTATGCAATTGTACAAAACAACAATGGGGCTCTGGGCTGGGGTCGAGATACGAAGAAGCATGGTCATATATTTGCCATCTCTTTGTAACTGGGGGACTACATATTTGTATCAAAATGAATGACTGAAATAATAAGGGTGCTTTGTAAGAGAAAACATGTCTTTGTAAAACATACACTGTCAAAGTAATGCAGACCTATTGGATCTTTAAAGTAGAGTGTCTGCAAGACTGTATGGACGCGTGTTTGGTCGTGTATGTGGTGGTGCCTAAATTTCATATTGCAATCCTTTTTCCAAAAGGTTGAGAAGCAATGGAAGAGGTCACTAAAAGGAAAAATCAATTTGCAAGTCATTTAATCATTTAGCATGATAGCAGTTAAATACACACTTACTGCATTATAGCAGCTGCTATAAAGTGTGTATTTGTCTTAAACATGGCTTCTGAAGCCAGCCTTTGCTTTAGAGCCACAACATTTCTTATGGTTTAATCTGCTGCAAAGCCTAAAAAAAGAAAAGCTAAGATTTAAGAAAACCGCTCCCTTATCTCATTTTTCAAATATTATGCCATACGCTGTAGATGAAAGTAGAAGACTCTTTCCTCGTCAGCTGCAATCATTCCTTCATTTAAAAATAAAAGAAAGAAAGAA